TTTTTTTTTTTTTTCTTTAGAGAGGAAAAATGACATGAGGAGGCTATACGTTCCTGATTTCTTTAGCACCACATGAGTTTGATAGTAGAATTAGAACAAAGCCAGAGTTTACATAATCAAATGATGCTTTGTTTGGTCTAACAGTCTTGAGACTTTCTTCTTTATCTCTGATGTACCCTTTACGCATACCATTGAATAAAATGGATCTTATCGATCAATGACTTGCTGTTGTTTAATGTGGTCTCCATATTTGTCTACTGGGAGTGCACACGTTAGATAAAGTGTTGTGTTAACCTTGGGGAACGAACGCCATTTCAACTTGCACCTTTGGGTTAGCCGAACTTGTTTCTAAGGCAACATTTTCTTTTCCATGGCACAACTGTTGTTTTTTTTTTTCGGAACGATAGAAGTGATATATAAAAGGCACAAAAGTGCAAAAGTACAACCACCAGCTGAATACACACCCAGCCACCAGCTGAATAAGATTGGGAGGACAAGTCATAAGATCGCCTAGAACTGACCCTAACAGGGTAATAACCTAACAACCAATAAAAACCCAACACTAAAATGACCCCAACAGGGTAAAAAAACACGACACTGAAACGGCCCCAACAGGGTAATGCTCGAGCGTGGATCCCAACAGGATAATAAGGTCACACTCGAGCGAACTGGGGCCAACGACCCAAACCTAAAAAACATCAATAACAACAACACGCACAAGCACAACTGTTGTTTGCTTTTTTTTTTTTATCTTCTTCCCATCTCATTTGGCTTCCCTTCCCCAAATGATTTATATATGCCTGTTTTCGCTGAAGTCTTATCTGATTTATCGATATTAGAGCCACTGGATGGGACAAACTACACGAGGTGGTCTAAGAAATTGTCGGTTTTCTTCGAGCAACTTGAAGTAGACTATGTTCTTTTCACCGGGATGGTACTGACGAAAATGGGCTCCACCGTCGTGTCTGGACAAAAGGGCGTACCTCAGTCCGGGTCTTCCTCCACTCCGGCCAAATCAATCGAAGACGAGGCCAAGAAGAAGTTTGAGAAGGACAACAAGATCGTTCGGGGCCATATGTTGCATCACATGACAAACACATTGTTTAATTTGTTTGTCAATTACAAACCGGCCAAACAAATATGAGATGCATTGGAGAAAAAATTATGGCTTTCACGATGTGGGAAGAAGAATATGTTGTCCGAAAATGGATGGAGTTTCAAATGGTGGATGACGAACCAATTAAGGAGCATGTTCACGGGTAAGAAAATTTAACGACGAATATTCTCGGTAAGTAAATGATGCTGTGCAAAATTCTATAAGCCAATGTTCAACTAGAAAATTTTCCACCTCCGTGAATGACTATTGCAACCACTTGAAGCACAAAAAGAAAGATCTCACATTGCAGGAACTATTGTCAGTATTTTTACCGGAGTAGAATCGAAAGATTCGTTCCTCGGGTCGTATCGCAAGAAAGGTTAGCCGGATTCAATTGTACGATTATTTGATCACGAAAAAGAGAAGACAAGATCCTAAACACTCTATTTCAATGGTTTTTGGTTGCAATTATCAGCTAATAATTTTAAACTAAATGAAAAGCAAATTAAATAGCAAACTAATTCACTCAATGAGCTAGGGAATCGGGGATAATTGCTTTCGTATCTAACACAGTTACCAGGCAATCAATTGCTCGGTTAAAGGATTTGAATCATTTCTCGTTCAGAGGTTCACTCTCAATAACTCTTCGTAACAAGAGAGTAAATATAAACGGTTAACTATCAGTTCCAACAATACATAGACAATATGTCACCGAATAAGTCTATCCTAAACGAGCCTAAATCGACCAACGTCTCCCCTTACGGTTCTGCAGGCTGATTAGCTAGGTTAGAATGGTGATCAGACAACTAACCCTAGAATATGCACAACTCGAATAGACATGAACAATCAAAAGCAAGCAAGCAATCATAAAACGAACTTAATCAATTATCCCATATCCCTAGCGTGTGATTTAGCTACTGATAGCATATATAGCATCACAAATTTCATTAACCCACGCCATCATCATCAATGGAGAAATTGAGAAAAGCAACTTACGATTAATATAAAATCCCTATGTTAAATCCAAAAGCATCCAAATCCAAAGCGAGAAATAGGAGTTTTTCAATCTCCAAAACAAATCCAAAGTGCAAAAGCAATAAAAGGAATGAGTTCTGTAGAGAGAAAAAGCGTAAAAACAAGTCTGGAAGTGAATATATGATCCCTAGGCCCTAATTCTGATGTAAAAATCCGTGCCTCAAAATTTGCATCGGGCAAGTCGTGAGTCGCGACGTATCATTTCTTCAGGTCGCGAGTCGCGACATCTCGCGAGTCGCGCGTCGTAAAAAAATCTTCAATTTCTAGGGAAAGTCGCGACCTTCATCTTCCATCTCTGTGATTCTTGTGAGTCGCGATCATCTCGCGAGCCGCGACTCAGTCGCGAGTCGCGAAAAAATTCAGCTTTCTGTGCTCGACAGCGAGTATTCTCGATATCACAGTCTCGGCTCAAGCAGTCTTATCCTCGACCGGCACAGCCCACCTCCTGAAAACACAAACACGAAGCAAAACATGGCAAAAAGACAGACTGAAAGTAAAAAGAAAACAAACCCAAAAATAAAGACACAAAAATGGGACAAACATGAACTAATTAGTCACATGTGGACGGGAAGAGGCAAATTGCCTCAAAGAAAAGTCTACTCCCCCTCTTGTCAGTGTTTTTTGGGCTAGTTTGGTTGAAATTGGTAATTCTTCAGTTGTAATTAAAAGTCAGTACAAGAAGGGTTCTTTTAAAAAATCACAAAACCGACTAATTAAAATGATAAGAAAATTGGAAAAAAAATGCTTTGACTTGTTATACCTATGACGGCCCTGGACGCAAAGTTTAATAATGTACCAAGTTCAAGGGCCAAAATCAGAAGATAGACTTCAACTCACGAAGTCAACTAAAGGCACAAGAAATTGTGGTTGAAACAGACAATTAGGTACCGGGGCTTCGTGATACTTTTGCACCAACAAACAACTTTTCCATAAATTTGAGGAGGTAGCCGAGGGCTAGTGCAACGACATCGGCAATTCAAGTGGAGTTCTTGGAAAAGGGAAGATTTTTCATAGGAGAAACTTTATGTTTAAAGAATGCTCTTTTTATGCCTAGCATGCGTAGAAACTTAATTTCTGGTGCTTTATTATATAAGGTTGGGTTGAAAATTGTGTTTGAGGCTGCCAGACTTGCGTTTTCTAAAAATGGAGACTTTGCGGGAAAGGGTTATTTGAACGAGGGTTTATTTGTTCTGACGTTGACACCGAAATTGTTAATGAGATTGCTCTTTCTGTTTATATCGCCGAGTCTCTTGATTTATGGCGTGGTAGATTTAGACATGTGAATAGTATTTCTATTAAACGAGTGTGAAAATTGGATTTAATTTATGCAATTTCTTTAAATAATTGAAATAAATGTCCAATTTGTGTGGAATCAAAATTTTCCTAGAAACCTTTTAAACCAATTGAAAGTAGGAAAACAAAATTGTTGGATTTGATTCACCCCGATCGATTGGCAGATTTTTTTCCTTCTTTACTGGTAGATTTGCGTAACACTACCAGTAAAGGAGGAAAAAAATATTATATGCTTTTGTTGATGATTTTTCCCGATACTCGAGACTTTATCTTCTGAAATATAAAAATGAAATTGTCGAAGTATTTTTAAAATACAAAATTGAAGTGGATAATAAATTGTACTGAAAAATCAAAAGACTATGATTTGACAAATGAGAATATAACACTATTTTTCTTACAGAATTTTGTGAACAAATTGGGATAATACATGAACTTAATACTCCGTATACACCTCAACAAAATGGTATAACTTAAAGGAAATTAGAACTCTTAAAAGACATGATGAATGGAATGTTATTGTGTTCTGGTTTACCTAGGTATATGCGGGGTCAACCTGTACTTTCTACTTGTTATCCTTTGAATAGAGTTCCTCATAAAAGGCTAGATAAAACCTCGTATGACTTCTGCAAAGGATTTTCCCCTAATATAATTTTTTTAAAATGTGGTGATGTTTAGCTAAAATATGCCTAAATGATAAGCCTAATATTGATTCCAAAGTTTTTTGTGTTGTTTTTATTGGTTATTCTCAAAATTCAATTGCTTATAGATTTTGTGTTCAAATGATTACTCAATTTGTGAATCCTGTGATGTTGAGTTTTTTAAGCATATATTTCCTCCAAGACATTTAAATGATAATAGGCCAAGTTCTTCTAGACTTGTATGTTTTGATGAACCAAGAACAAGTAAGCGGCAGAGAACATGTGTGCTATCACTGTGGTCTAGAAGGTCATATGACGAAGAATTGCTATAAATGGCTCGAGGAGCAGGGCAAGAGCAATTCTCAGCTGAAGAATAGTTCTCAGCAGAAGAACAAGGGCAAGGGTGGTGAAACTCTTATCACTGTCTC